TTCCTTCTATTGTCTTCTCTAGTTGTAGACGACGAACAGGAACTCCCTGCTGCTGCTGCTGCTGCAGTTGCTGCTGCTGCAGTTGCTGCTGCTGCTGCTGCTGCTGCTGCTGCTGCTGAGGTTTCTGATAACGTTCAAGGGTTTTTCTTTCCTCTATTAGGTGCTGCTGCCTTAATATCTCCTGCTGCTGCTGCATTATTAGCTGCTGCTGCTGCTGCACTATAAGATTCTGTGCATCTTTTAGTAACGAATTCCTCTGCTGTCTAACAGGTAACGCCTGCTGCTGCTGCTGCTGCTGCTGCTGCTGCTGCGGCTGCTGCGGCTGCTGCTGCTGCTGCTGCTGCTGCTGCTGCGGGGTGTGCTGCTGTTGCTGCAGCGGCAACTGCGGTAGTTGTTGCCTCTGCTGGGGGAGCTGTGTCTGCTGCTGCTGTAGCTGCTGCTGTAGCTGCTGCTGTAGCTGCTGCTGAGGTTGCTGCTGCTGCTGCTGCAGCTGCGGCTGCTGAGTCTGTTGAAGCGGAAGTTGCTGTTGCAACGGACGTTGCTGCTGCAGCGGAAGTTGCTGCGGTTGCTGCTGCTGTGGCTGCTGCTGCTGCTGGAGGAGCTTTTGTTGCTGCAGGAGCTGTTGCTGCTGCTGCTTGAGGAGCTGCTGCTGCAGCAAAAGCTGCTGTTGCTGCGAGAGTGCAGCAGGAGGTTGCGGCTGTTGAACAGTGGCAGCAGCAGGAGCAGGGGAAGGAGCAGCAGCAAGAGTAGCAGCAGGAGCGGCAGGCGCAGCAAGAGGAGCAGCAGGACCAGCAGCACTAGCAGCAAGAGGAGTAGCTGGAGCAGCAGCAGGAGCAACAACAGGAGAAACAGCCAGAGGAGCACCAGGAGCAGCAGTAGGAGCAGCAGGAGAACCAATAGCAGCAGCAGCAGCAACAGGAGCAGCAGCAGGAGCAGCAGCAGGGGCACCAGCAGCAACTGTAGGAGGAGGTGCAGCAGGCGCAGTCATCTGTTTAGCCTGCAGCAACATCTGCTGCTGCTGCTGCTGCTGCTGCTGCTGCTGCTGCTGCTGCTGCTGTTGCTGTTGCTGTTGTGTGGGGTTAACTTGTGCATATGGCACTTGTTGCTGCTGCAGTGGCTGCCCTTTTGCAAACTGCTGCTGCTGCTGCTGCAGTATTTGCTGCTGCTGCTGCAGCTGCTGCAGCTGCTGCTGCAGCTGCTGCTGCTGCAGCTGCTGCTGCTGTGTGGCTAGTGGTTGTGCATTAAGTTGTGTTTGTATACCCATCGCCTTATGCAGATTACCGTCCCTGTTGCTGCTGCTGCTGGTGCTGCTGCTGGTGCTGCTGCTGGTGCTGCTGTTGCTGCTGCCCTTAAGTCTATATCCAGGAGCGCATGCACATTGATAAGATCCAGGTAGATTAATACAAACTTGTGATTTATCAATACCGCTGCTGCTGCTGCTGCTGCTGCTGCTGCTGCTGCTGCTGCTGCTGCTGGTGCATGCAGGGAGACCATTACCTAGTCCCTCCTTACATTCATCCCTATCTATGCATGCAGATAAATTAATAGGAGACACCTTATACCCAAGGGGACAGCTGCATCTATACAGCCCCAATTCTGTTGTACATTTATACGAACAAACAGGAGAAGTACCAGCAGCAGGAGCAGCAGGAGCAGCAACAGCAGCAGCAGCAGGAGTAGGAACAGCAGCAGCAACAGATCCCATCATTTTAGCTGCTGGGGTTGGTGCGGAATATGCTGCTGCAGTTGCTGCTGTTGCTGCTGTTGCTGCTGTTGCTGCAACAGCAGCAGCAGCAGCGCATGCATCTAATTCAATACAACTACGACCATCTGCTGCTAAGCCATAACCTAAGACACACACATACACCATACAACTGCAGCAGCAACTGCAGCAACTGCAGCAACTGCAGCAGCAGCAGCAGCAACTGCAGCAGCAGCAGCAGCAGCAGCAGCAACAGCAGCAACAGCAACAGCATCAAACAAATCCCTAGTGTTAGTCACATCATTATAACCCCAATGCGCAGCCGCAGCAGCAGCAGGAGCAGGAGCAGCAGCAGCAGGAGCAGCAGCAGCAGCAGCAGCAGGAGCAGCAATACCTGGTAAACATTGACAATAATAAGAACCTAATGTATTAACACAAATATGCTGACAACCTCCATTAGTTATTTTTTTTTCTTCTTTTTTTTCTTTATTTATATTATATATATTAATATATTTATTATTTATATTATTATTTATATTTATATTATTATT